GTTCACCAAGGAGCTGGACCAGTGGGTGGAGCAGCTGAACGAGTGTAAGCAGCTGAACGAGAACCAAGTGCGGACGCTGTGCGAGAAGGTAGGCGGCCCCGCCGCGGCGGCGGAGGAGGAGGAGACGGAGGAGGAGACCGAGGCCCCCCCCCCCCGGGCGCCTGGAGGAGGGGGAGCGGGTGCGGGGACCACCCCTCCCCCCGGAGAGCAGGCAGCTGCAGATCCCCCCCCCCTCCCGCCCCCCAAATCCACGGACAACTCTCCTGAAAGTCGTTAACACGGAGACTTGGTTAGCGTGGGATTGTTCGCGGGTGAACCGGGGTGCGGGGGTGGGGCTGGGGGGCTCCCGTCGCACCCCACGGGGTGCACGAAAGCTTTTGTTTGCAGGCTAGGGGGCGTGATGGCAGGCGGACCTGAATCCAGCCCCGGCCGGCTTGGGTGGAGGCAGGTGGTGGTGGTGGCGGCGGCGGTGGCGGTGGTGGCGGTGGCGGTGGTGGCTGGTCTGGGTGCTGAGCGGCTCTCGGGAGAGGGATGGTTTCTTTTTCAGGAAGAAGGCAGCAGGTGTTGAGTTTGGAAACCGGGTTTCCTGGCACCAAGATGACTGGGAGGTGTCCTGTTTATAAGGCGCCCCATGACAGAAAGTTACTTCCATTTTTACCGCCTGTGTCCGCCTCCCCCTCCCCTCCCAATCCCCGGTAGCGTGCAGGTGATGGATTGATTTGGGTAAACGCTCCTTGATCGTGTTTTCTTACCTTTCAGAAATCCGCATCCATTGATGTATTAACCGCTGGGATTTTTAAAGTCTTATTTTTTCATTCCCCCTTTATATTACGGACTAAATTCCTTCCCTGTATTTTCCTGTTAAAAAGGCCCACGAAAGAGTTATTTCAAGCTGTAATCTATATTTTTCTTAGAAGCCGGGATACTACCAAAGGATTTTGTCTGTCTGTCTTGTAAGCACTCTCCACTTAAGGGTGGGAAGTAATAGCCCATGGTGTGTTTTTCAGGAGTTCGGTGTGGTCCAAGGCCTTTCTATATAGAATAACTACTTAGCACAAGAGACTTTCTTTCTTCAAATACAACTGTGAAGAAAATGGTGTTTCCGCCAGTGAAACTGTTTGCCTCTAGCCTCAGTGAAATTTTATTTTTCTTGTGTGATAACCTGTAATTTCATAAGTCCTCAAAATTAACCCTTTAGATGATCTCTCTCAAGCTCGAGCATCACTGAACTGTCCAGTTTGGAAATTGGCTGAGTCAGTCGGCCTTTTTGTAATCGAGACATCCAAAACTGGAGGTGCAAACCAAGAGCCGGCTGAGTCAGTCCAGTGTGTGCCTATGACGTTCTGATAATTTTAGGGTACGTCCTTGCAGAAGGTTGTCCCGCTGCCGGGAAGTATCACGCTTGAGTCTTAAATTTTCAGGAAGCTTTCTGGATCTGTTAAAAAAGATTTTTTTTTTTTTTCCTTTTTTAACTTCGGCGTCTCAATAAATTGGATTACCAGTTCGTAGCCCCATCCGTGTATTTAAGCTGACACCTTAGGCTGTGAGCCAGTGGGTTTCCTTTGCATATCTGCGCTCATTCACAGAGTGTCACCCATCACTTGGTCCTCTGACCCACAGGATGGAGTTGCCAGTGGGAAAAATAGTTGACTTCACAGCCCTCTTCCAGCATCTCTGCGGTGTGTGTGTGTGTGTGTGTGTGTGTGTGTGTGTGTGCGCGCGCGCATGTGCGTGTGTTCGTTTCCAGTTCCCATTTTGTAATAGGTTTAAATATTTATTAATTTTTAATTATATGTCTGTGTGCTAAGTGCTGATGCCTGAGGAAGCCAGAGGCGTCAGAGCCCCTGGATCTGGCTGGTGGTGAGCTGCCTGATGGTGTCCTGGGAACTCACCGCATTCAGGTCCTCTGTAAAAACAGTCCAGGTTCTTACCTGCTGAGCCATCTGGCCATCCCGTTTTAAGTTCAGCCTATCAGAATTCATCCCTGCTCCACAGCTTGCTGGCTTCCGGTTCCTGCACTTCTCATGCCTTATCTGAGGCAGGGATGACACTTAACAATCTTGTGGATGAAAGCTATCAAGAGGCTCCTCAGACAGTCCTCAGACTCCTGACAGGAGGAGAGCGCTCAGGGAACGCCAAGAGAGTGGGAGAGGATACCTAAGTTTTTCATCTCCTTTCAGGTGTCGCTCCCCTGGCTTTGGGAAAGATGTGATAATATATATGTTAATGAGGCGTCTGGTGATCGTACTTCAAAGGAGATTTTGTGTCTAGTGGCCCTAACCAAAACTTGGTGTGTTTCTCTTTATCTTCAGCACACAAATTAGCGGGTTTTACAGCAATGTTGTAAACTAAGCAGCTTTACTTCCCAGTTGGTCTCGTGAATACTCTACCCTTCCAGAGCAAGAATGCAATAATGTAGGAAGGATGTAACAGAAGTCAAACATTATACAGATCACCTGTGTTTAATTCCTTGGGCTAGTTTTTTAGGCTTGTCGTTTTTAATTTCCTTTTCCTGTATGTGTGTATGTATGATGTGTTTGTGAGTGCCCATGGCGGGGTGGGGGTTTGTCAGAGAACAACTTTGTAGAGAAGGGCCTCTCCTTACACTTTATATGAGTTCTGGGGATCAAATTGGAGTCTCAGGTTTGAGCATCACACACCTTTACCTGCTGAGCAATTTCTCGGACTAAAAGTTAATGTTTTTATAAAGAACGGGTCTCAGTATGTAGTCCTGCTGCCCTGGGACTCTTATGTAGACCAGGCTGACCTCAAACTCTGCCTGCCCCTGCCTCCTGGGTGCTGGGAATAAAGGTGTGCACCACCATGCTTAGCCCATCAAGTATTTTAATGACGTGCATTTTAGATGTTTTGTAGAAAGTGACATTGTAAGCTGTTTTCCCCTAGAAATTAAATTCCTGTCCGAATTCAGCTTGTCTGAAACTGAAGCAGCTGAAGTCGAGACCAGAGTGGTCCTGTAAGCCCGTAGAGGCCTGTACTGGGGCGGCGGTGGTAAGACTCCTCCTAGTGTCCGTGGGTGAATAGCGGCCAGTGGGGAGCACAGAAGACACACGTCTGCCCCTGAAGTTCATTTCTGCCGCTGTGTCTCTGAGACGACAGAGTCACCGTGCTCACCTAGGGTAGCAGTCCAGGCTGTGACGCTAACTGGACTCTGCTGTGGGCACACATTCTGCTTCTGGACGGCAGTGTGCACAGCACTTTTAAAGATGGCGTGCCGGGGAGCTGCTCTGCTCTGTCCAGAACGTTCTGTGACTAGAACTATATTTAACTCTCGTCTTGGGAAGAGTAAAAAAAAAATATTTTTGACCCGTTAAGCTTTATTTTATAACTGAAGAATGTTTGGGATGATAGTGGGGAGGGGGGAGGGGGGAGCTGCTTCCTGTGTTAATCCTTAATCAGAAAACCTGAGGCGAGTGTAGAAATACGTGGAAGTTGTAGTGGGGCTGGAGAAGTGGCCCCGCCGTTAAAGGCTAGGCTCACAACCAAAACCATAAGAAGTCCATGTAAATTCTCTATTGAATTGATGGTTCTGTTTCATGGCTTGGCTTCAAAGCCTTGACATAAGCAGACATTGAAGATTTAAGTCTACAATGGGAAAGAGCATACACTTGACTTGTGAGGCCGAATTGTGTCACCAAGGGTTAGATCCTCGTGGACATAGACTATGTGAATTGAGATAATTGGTTACTCTGCATACAACTCTAAACAAAAATAAAAGTGGTTTTAACTGGGTGTGGTGCTCACACCTTTAATTCCAGCACTCTGGAGGCAGAGGTCAGCTTGGTCTCTGTAATGAGTTCCGAGACAGCCAGGCTACATGAAACCAACCCTGTCTCCCAACCAAAAAAACCAAGGTGGTTTTAAGTGCTAAAACCCCTGAGTGGCTACATAGTGAAACCGTCTCAAGAAACAAAAAAGACAAACAAAAAGATGTAACTGGTATATTCATTTTACTTCGGTTTTTTTCCTGGGGTCAGGGTCTCTCTACGTAGCTCTGGCTGGCCTGAAACTTGCTGTGGTTGACCTCAGACTTTGGGGACTCCACCTGCTTCTGCCTCCCTGAGCACAGAGAGGACAGTGTGAGACACTGTGCCCTGTGGTAAATTTAGTTCAAAGTTTTATTTGAACAGGATCTGAACTGCAGGGATGTAGAAAATGTTTCTGACTGTACCAAAGAATGACATGGTCACCGCGGACTGTGAAGTTAAGCTCCAGTGTGCTGACTGAGCAGATCAGCATTTTCCAGCCCATCTAAGCCACTGTCCTTAAACTGGCAGGTGAAGAAATTCACATGAGACCAGCACAGACCAGTGACTAGAAAGTGGACTTTGTAAAATCAGGTGATTGCTTGACTTTGTTTGTGATGTGTAAAATATATCTAAGTAGATAACAGTATTTACATTATAAAAAAAATTTGTTTTCATTGAATAGTTTTATATGCAGTGTGTAACTTTTGTTTAAATCTTCCCTTAGTTTTTGTCGTTTGTTTTGGGTTGGTTTTGTAGTACCAGGGATCCAACAGACTAGATTGCCCATCATTGAGACAGTCTGATGGGCTTGGTAAATGAAACCAAATACCAGAAAGAGAATGATGTTAGAATCACAAGAAATTCACGTCTCTGTTGAGGAAATTTTAGTTGTTTTGAATTGATTTTCTTTTACATTCTTAAGTAAGTGTAATGAAATATAAACCTAGTCTAGGTAGTTGAAAGTAACTTAAATGAGGGCTGGAGAGATGGCTCAACGGTTAAGAGCACTGACTGCTCTTGCAGAGACCAGGGTTTATTCCCAAAACCCACATGTCAACTTATAACTGTAGCTCCGGTCCCAGGGGATCCAGTGCCCTTTTCTGGGTACCAGGCACACGTGGTGCATAGACATGCAGGCAAAACACCCATAAACATAAAGTAACAAATCTTGAAAAAAAATTGTTTCAAGTAACTTATATGAAAACACCCTTTTTTTTCTTGCATTGTTATTAGCGATCAAATGTTACCTTTCCCTAACATTACTTTTCAAGTCTGTTGGTGTTGGCGGTCATACTAACCCTAGGAAGGAGGTCTGTAAATA